CTGCCATTACTAAAATACTACAAGTACTACTACTACTACTACTACTACTACTACTACTACCACTACTACTATCACCACCACTACTACGATACTACAAGTACTACTACTACTCACCACCCCCGCCACCACTACTACAACACTACTGCTATATCATCACCACCACTACTACAATACTACTAACCACTACTACAACACTACTACTACTACTACTACCATCACCCCACTACTACTACTACCATCACATACACCACCCACTACTACTACCACTTTCATCACCCCCACCACCACTACTACAACACTACTGCTACTACTACCATCACCCCCACTACTACTACTACCATCACCCCCACTACTACTACTACCATCACCCCACCACCACTCCTACAACACTAAAACTACTACTACTACTACCATCCTCACCCCACTACTGCTACTACCATCACCCCACCACCACTACTACAACAACTACCACCTACACCCCCCACTACTACTACTACCATCACCCCCACTACTACTACCACCATCACCCCCACTACTACTACCACCATCACCCCCACTACTACTACCCATCATCACCACTACTACTACTACCATGACCCCCACCACCAATACTACTACCGGCACCACTGATATCACCACTACTGCTACCACTATCAACCCACCACCGCCACCACTACTACAACACTACAACTGCTACCACCACCACCGTTATCATCGCCACTACTTCTACTATTACAACTAATACTGATTCCACTACATCTACAACTTCCACTGCTACTACAGCAACAACTACTACACCAAACCCAACATCGTCCCAACCACTACCACCAACACCACAACCACTGCAACAGCTACTACTACCGTCCATCAAAGACACTGGTTAAGGAATCTTTATTCATTAATATGTTTTTCAGTTTGTAACCAGACATAACCAGCCTAAATATAACGGGAATATTGCAGATTCCTGAGTTGAACAACAAACAAATGGTACCTAAAATTGTGTAATCAAGCAATAGAAACGTCTGGGGATCGAGACGTCTTTTATGAACACACGATGGTTAGTCGTTCGTCTTATAATCTTATAAAACGGTCTTGTGAAGTAAAACGTTCGGGAAATGTCATATTGACAGTGTAGGCAATTCGACAGTGGGATAATCATGTCGGGGTGGTCTCTGTTACTCATAATCCTGCGACTGATCGTGGTATTCCAGAAGAGTTGCGTTTGAAGGATTTATCTAAAGCTATTACTACGATATAAGATCTGTTCAACAAATTGTCCCGCTGGAATTTCAAACACCGATCTCCCCCTTTCTATCTTGTTATATCAATCAGAATTGATTCCACGAAGATATCCATTTTCTTCTAGTACATGAAAAGGATGTGACGCATTTCTAACGCCACCTCCAACTGCATGTAAAACATTTTGGACATATTTCGTTTCAGCAAAACATTCCTAATTTTCTTGGTTTTGTCTTACTGCAATTGTAACCTCTGAACCGCATGAACGACATATGACCTTGACCTTGTCCTTCGAACGCCATACACATGTGCTGATTGAACAACTGTCACATCACACCATATTCAATTTGCATACGACACGACTTGAAAGGAAATAATTCTACAGAGATTTCGAGTGATTATTAGGACAAGGGTTTTAATAAAAAAATAAATGCCTAACTCAATTCATTTGATTGGTGGCAATGTTGCCGGGACGTCATTTCTCGCGGAGGATTCGTGCTTGTCCGGCTGTCATTTTTCATAACAATTAAAAACTGACATCCTTTAATCCATCTACAGTGTTATCGAAGACGACAGTGCTGTAGTCTGAAGTGGAATTATTTTGTAGATAGGAGAAGCTAACATGCTGAAAACTTAACGTAAGTATTTTAAACATCCTACTTATGTTGCAAATTATGTTCAAAGCTACAATACTAATGTCAAACCCTGAGCATCGCGGCAATTCCCGAACCGAATGCCACAACCCTACTAACTTTCTACATTGTCATTTTTATGGCGATTATTTTGCTAAAAAACGACATGTTTGCGGAATTCATTAGAAGACGCACGATCGTTGAAGCCTACGCAACGTCGCCTCAGCGTCCAGACGTCGCCGATAGTGATCACTGAGGCAACAACATGTCAAAGACGAGTGTCCATCTAGGGCTTATCAGCTTGGGACTAGAATACAAATCAGTCGTTGGGTAAACAGTATACATCTTCTTATGTCAGCCAGAAATTACGGTTCCTCATAATGCAATAAGGCCGGCGTTGCTTCATTCTCCTAACTCATTTCACTCCTCCTAAAATACCAAGAGGAACCGATGTTATATGCCTCGATAACAACAGCGTATTTGGCTATCTGTTGACTCTCCAGCAATTTACGTGTTATTGCGGGTCCGGCGACACCGTAATTTGATCAAAGCCCTCAACTCAAATCTCTGTAGTTCCCCCCGGGAGACAATGCTGGCCACCAAGTCGATTACGCGAAGATTTCTCAACAGTTGTCTCAATTGAGAGAGACCGCTAGGGCCCGAAAGGAAGAAAGGTTTTAAAAAAAACCTTCGTGGAAGTGAGGCGGCGGAGAAAGTTAGGGTAGTCGGGCGGTTTGCAATTGTTGTCTTAAGCACTGCGGAAACATTTGTTCAACCAGGGCTTTCAGTTACTGTGTAATCACAGGCTATCGTGGTGCAAGAGGTCTTGGTGGTTTATGTCCTTCGGTAAAGAAAGGCCAGACATTCGCGCCTGAAAGTTGGCGAAAATATTTGAGAACGTTTATGATGCCACAGCGAATCCAAATAAACTGAAGAGCGAAAGAAAGTATACACACGATTATGGGATTTGACAAAAACGCTACGTTACTCAAAATGGTTGTCGAAACGCTGCAAACAAATGGTCCAAAACACAACTTCAATACCCACGTGAAATATGTCACCATCGATGCATCATTTCGTGTCTAGTGCCAGGAAACACTGGCGTTTGCTGTCTTTGGTTAGACAGTGTACTATGTCTATGAATATGACATCAGGCGTGTAGCAAGCTAATTGTTTTCGTGTATGCACGATAGGTCGCTAGGCTTTATATTTAGATAGTATTGAGGGCTTGCCCAGCCTTTTTAGAAATAATCATGTGTAAGCCCGGGGGCGGGCGTAATGGTAGCTACGCCCCTTGACATAATAAACGACTGAATATAATGTCCGTATTGGACGATCGTAGGGAGTGGATTGTGGTGAGTGTTTAGGGTTAAAAAATCTGTTTAAATGTATTTCCGTCACACAAACACACACACACACACACACACACACACACACACACACACACACACACAGAGAGAGAGAGAGAGAGAGAGAGATTGTCACGTAGACGCATCACTTTTTCTCACCAGGGGTCCAATATGGGTCCACAGAGAGAGAGAGAGAGAGAGAGAGAGAGAGAGAGAGAGAGAGAGAGAGAGAGAGAGAGACACACACTCACTCACACACACATGTACAGAGCTGTAATTAAGACCATGGTCTCCTGTTCCAGTAACAAGTAATGTGTCAGTCAATATTTCTGCGTAGGTTGGTGGGGTGGGGATGTCCCTTGGGCAGCGCCACTGAAGATCTCAAACGTGTGGGTCACGCGTAATGGCCTGAGCCCGTTACAATCACCAATAAACATCAAATAAATATAATCCACATTTTCCACAGTCACACGAAAGCTCTGCCAAAAGAAGATTCGATTCCCACTCTATCATGAACATGTATAATATGTTACTGTCAAACAGGTGTTCGCGAACAAATGAGCATATATTGCCGTATCGGTTACATCATGAACACAGGTTCTCGTGTCTTTGCGAGGATTCAAGATTTAAAAACACAGTACAATTTTATTGTACTGCTTCACAGTACAATCTGATTGTTTTTTCTATTTTGTATTTTAATCTTTAATTCTCACGAAGACACGAGGGCCTGTGGTCAAATGCTAGTCAATGGTTCATCTGAAAGATGACGTCAGGTGTTCACGAAGTCCTGGCAAGCACTGAAAAACATCCACCAATACACGTTCTCCTTGGACAGGTGTCACAAAACTGCTACATCGTGATGATTCGTTCCTAATAGTGACTGTTATATGCGGTGTACTAAACACAAGAAGCCTTGAGACATACACCATTGCTCTGCTACAGAGGAATAAAGCTAAAATATTACCCGGTGGTAGGTATTGGTTTTGCGGTTTCTTCTCTTTCGATTGGTTGACGCTGAATGAATAGAGAGGTCCTCTGTTTCGAGATGTGTTGTTACCAACATTTCCATCACAATTAATGAAAAGCGCTTTTTAGTATAGATACTTCTGTTCTGGACAATCGTTTCCGGAAATCAGTATACAGGTCTACGGATGTAAAGCTAAACCTCGATCCTAAATCCGACATATTGACCTTTCCGCACGAGATTTCATTATCTGTTACTTTAAAGGGGTTTCACTGCACCTACAACAGGGATTGCGGTTCTAGTCCCAAAAACAGAGTTGGGATTGGGAGTCAATTGGTACCAAAATGTGACTGGGGATATCGTGCTGACGGGGGTATATCGGTGAACATGCAAATCTACCCCTTGACACTCGTTTATGGCTGTAGAATCGGCCTAAAATTGTTTCAAAATTTCAGACAAGGCCGAAAATGTGCATTCAGCCTTCACAAAGGGATGATCATTTAATGTTGCGGATGGGTGGCCTGAGAATGTTTGAAAAGTAATTATTCTCTGACGGCGACAAACGCCACGTCTCCATCACCATCCGGATGTTAAGTAGTTAGTACCTCACCTCTGGGTTTGTTGGCTTTCCTTTGTTGTTTTACGCCGCACTCAGTTATATGGCATGAGCACCGATCTACGCAATTGGAATACGATGACATGTATCAACCAAGTCAGCGAGCCTGACCACCTGATCCCGTTAGTTGCCTCTTACGACAAGCATGGGTTGCTGAAGATCAATTCTAGCCCGGGTCTTCTCTAGGTGTAATTACTTACCACAGACTCTCTGTCATCTGCAACGTGGAGTTGTTAGGTTTTGTAGGACAGGAAGTTGAACCTGCGCACGCACACACAGGAAACACAATGTGGGTTCCCCTGCCATCGTCCGGAGTGGGGTTAGTTTCGACAGACGAACACACGGTGCGCGGACTAGGGCAGTTAGGTAGTGGCGAGTCCTGAAAGGAATAAAACCATATTGTACTAAAGAAATCATAACTGACATAACTGACACCTACATCGGATGTAAGAAAGATAACCTTTCCTTAAGGCGTGCGTCCATTTCGTGCTTGTTCGTATCTTTGATTGAACCAATATGTCGATGTTGAGATTAACAGGTTATTTTCATAATCATCCGAAGTAATACAGTTCATCGATTCAATATTTTTTTCTCATAAGGCCATTTCACCAATGACCGTGTTCAGTATCAACAGGAATGACTAGCAGATTGATTTATTGAGAGTGTCCGATTTTTTCTAGAAAGGTGTTTCGGGTATGATTCAGAGATTACACACACACTATTGCTTTAGTTACACGCACAACATTGCTTTAGTTACACGCACAACATTGCTTTGGCAAGACCTGGTATTGAAATGCCCCGAGATCAATATGAAATGCGTTACAGATTATAGCATTGCATTGTGGTCGTATTATTAAGAATGTCGGATTGAACGAGGTCAGTTTTGTTTGCTTATAATATACCATTTACCTGGCAAGCACGACGTTAAACCCACTTTCACCTCACCTCACCTCACCATTTACCTGGTGAATACGTTATCATTGACTCGTCATTTAGCTGGTGAAACATATTGTCATGGATTCATCATTTAGATATTGAGCATTCTAGCATGGATTCATCTCTCATCTGAAGTACCATGTGTTAAGGAAACTGCATTTAGTTGGTATATAACTGACCATTGATTCATCATATTTTTATTTTTTTAATTTATTTATGTTTTGGTGTGTGTGTGTGTGTGTGTGTGTTGTGTGTGTTGTGGATTCAGCACATACAATTAGTCTGGGCGTTTTGTGAATTCACTATTAAATTTTAGCCTGTGAAGATTATATATCATGGGATCATTATCAAACTGGTGATCACTTTATCATGGCTTTGTCAGCTGAATCAGCTGCACAATTTATCCTTCGTCATTCAGATACTAAACATGTTATCGTAAAGCGATGTGTTAGTGTTCCTACACAAAGACAGGTCGATAAATCTGCAGTGGCAGTCACAAATTAAACTGGGGGGATTAACGATAAATGCATTAGCTCGCTCCTTTGACCATTTTCAGTGCGACGCTCAGCATCCGGATGGGATAACGTCCGTGTTAAGAAGTCGATTTTGCAGAGAAACGTAAAGATATAACTGCAGTAAGGTGATAAAAATATACAAATGTCATTGTTCATCAAACATTTTTCTTCCAACAAACAAAACTATTAAGACTGCATTTTACGTTTTCTTGCGGACTCTAAGTAAATAATGTCGACAATGAGATGCAATCGTTTCAGATAGCGCGGAAAGATTGGACAGAGTTAGTACTTCTGTATCTTTTGTCATTTTCACAAATGTGGAAATTTGCGAATAAAGTCTTCACTTTAATCATTAATGTGATCTGAACCGATGCTGTGCGGAAACTGTAGTCGAGAAATGTCTACCGGGACTAGGTCGGTGGGGTAGCCTTGAGGCTAAAGCGTTCGCCCGTCACGCCGAAGACCTGGGTTCGATTCCCCACATGGGTACAATGTGGGAAGCCCATTTCTGGTGTCCCCCACCGTGATATTGCTGGATTATTGCTAAAGACGGCGTAAAACTCACTCTACCGAGACTATGAACAGGCCATTCCTTGTTTTATGCCATTAATTCGGAGTTCCAGTTTAAACTATTTCAACGCTTTTTGGAATATTGTGGTCAAGGATCGAATCACTTCCGGGTTAATGCTCAATCCACTACACACAGAGATAGTCGGACCACTCAGAACCAACATCACTGTCTGGTTAACTTACGGCTTTAGTGGAGGTCGTAGTTAATGAATTAATGATGGCAAGCATTACGTATATTTACGGAGCTTCACAAACGGCATTAATTACAAATATAGATCGTGAACATCATTGAACCGACCGCCCCCTTTACGAAACTTCCGTTTGTGACGGAACTGCCTTCGGGTTGAAAAATACACCGTAGGGATTACTGCACGACACGTCCAGTTTTATTACAGCCGATTTCCGGCTGAAAAGAACCGGAAGTCCAAAACAGCCCCTCATCCGACAAATATTAAACGTGCCTGTTTCGAATCATAGCGTCTCTGGTTATTAGATAGGCCTCTGGATGTGATTGCATTCACGCGGAGTATATTCTATTATGGGCCAAATGTTTCGGAATAAACTAATAAAGAAACTCAAACTTTATTACGGCTACCGTTTCCCTAAACCAATTGTGACCGGTCAAGCGAGCAGCACGAGATGCAGGCATCTTGTCCAAACACTGACCGCCTACTTCTTGACCAACAAGCACGGACATTAGACTACAAACTGCTGCGTGTCTCCTCTGAAATGTCGTTCAATCGCGTTAGACATATTTATTTCCCACCGATCACGTTACAGGTGCTACAAACGTGTAACATGAGCACATCTCATTTGGAGTTGAACAGAATGTTCCAGAAATAGGCTCCACCTCAGACTTTTCATAGAAGAATTTGCAGTTTTCGCCTTTAATACCTATCTGTTCTTGTACGCCTGCGCAGAATAAACTTGCCTGAGACGATAATGAAACCGATAAATGGCATTGTCAGCTTATCCGGCTCGGCAATTTGGGATAAAATGTCCCTGAAGCAGTGATTAGTTGGTTCTTGAACAATACAATACCTACATCAGTCGTTATTCAGTCTGGTGGTTTGTTTACAGGACAGATCAGATGCTGAAAATAAACACGGCATTGTGGACAGTCATTGTACACGAGTCACAGATAGGCTTAAAGAGCGGGTGCTCATATGCTTTCATAACGGGGATAAGGGGTTCTCTATTGCTTAACGCATTCGTCCATCAAGCACACACATGTACGTGTTCTTCTTTCACGCATTGCCCCCTAACCTGCGATTTACATCCGTAGTTGTTATAGTAAAGGATTTGGTTTCAAAATGTTTTTAGGGTGTTATACGTTAGAGTGAGTGAGTGAATTTGGGTTTTGAACTGCATCTAACAGTTTTCCAACCATTTCCATTAGGGGGTCCTGTCGTCTACGGTGCCGCAATTTTCGTTGCAGAGTTGCGCCCCTTGGGCATTGCAGAATCCTGGTCATGGCTCCAAATCCCGGTTCGCCCTGATTATGTTTCGAGGTTTGTCAGTACCATACTGTGATCATGGAAATTGTCTGAGACCTGTGTTACTCCGGGCTTTCCTCCCACATTAAGCTGACACGCCGTCACTCACTCACCATATCAAATGGCTAAATGCACAAATGTTACATTGAGATATAGACGAATCCATCTGTATTCCGCACCATCTTCATCTTATCTGTTTTGTCTGACACACGCCCACTGATTTCATTGTTCACGACGTGACCTCCCAAAACTGACGTTACATATGTACTCAATCGCATTAAACGTCAGGTCTCACTGGCGCTAAAGAAATGAGGACGTCCCATTTCGAATCACGCCCGAACGACATTTCATCGACCAGTCAGAGCGTCGCTAACAAACAGGAAAGTGACAGTTGGAATGTGTTGTCTTAGCATGCAGCCTTGTAAAGGTAAATACGAGGTATTCCGAACGACAGTTACCAGCTGTACGACTGAGACCGATAAAGTGCAGTGTCTAGATTTTCGAAACTCTCTTAGCGCTAAGATAATTTAATGTTAATGTATAGCACTTACGACCATCTTAACACTAGAAGAGCTTCGAAAATCTAGGCCCAGACTTTGCGGGGCGGTGGGGTAGCCTAGTGGTTAAAGCGTTCGCTCGTCACGCCGAAGACTTTGGTTCGATTCCCCACATGGGTACAATGTGTCAAGCCCATGTTTGGTGTCCCCCGCCATGATATTGCTGGAATATTGCTAAAAGCGCCGTAAAACCATACTCACTCACTCACTCGCCAGACATTACATACGTTGGTAGTACTGCAATACAATCAAGACCATCTGTTCGACATTCCAGAATGCCCCTTTGTTAAGACTGCTGATTGGTTAACTTCGACTTCTGAGACATTTCATTGGTCGGATAAAGTTTACAAAAGTTGCAAAATGCAAACTTGGATCTTACCGTGATCTTTAATGAGATTACAGATGCACTTTTATCCATAGGCTTATTATTCACCACATTACGGTGAGTTTGCAATACAGCCGCCACACCCACCCACAACAAACACAGGCTGAATATTGCGATAAAGTAGATTATATATCAGTCGACAAAGTATCTTAATTTTCTATTAACGCGTGAGAACCCCAATGCACTTTCAGAGTAGCCATTGCACTACGATTAAGATGATACCAATGCGGAGAAACATCCCCGTAAATAGAGTTGCTATCAGATGTCTGAAAAGGAGGATTAGTATCTTCGGCTGGAGCGGAGGTAATTATCAAGCCATCAGAGGTCTTCAGTACATCTGCTTCGCCCTCGAGATTGAACCGCGGCCCACGTGACAGTTGGAAAAGATTCATAGACAGTTGCATTGCACTTTCGTAACATCCGTATTTACGCATTCTTCTGGATCATGTGAAGGCCGTTGGCTATCGTACATGATCCATTGATCCGCGCAGTCAAGACGTGCAATGCAGTGTTTCGTTTGTGAAATCCGAGTTGGTGTTTAGCAGATCAACGAGATTTTGCTCTCCGCGAAAAGTCACGTGACTAGTAGCTAAGTGAGTGCATGTGATGATTACACGATGGGGATTAACCCATGGTGCCATCTTTGTTTATGAAGATAAAACAGCTAAACCCGAAGGTCGTGGTATGTTAGGGCCGTTTCATCTGTTTAAAAGCGTCGCCTAAGGGCGTCTCCAAGGTCAAGGTCACAATAAACGTTTGAGACGATAAGGTTTTTTAACAGGATTAGCACAGAAATAGAAAGTGGAAATATTCCAGTCGAGACTTATGATCCTTCATTTTCCTACTAGATATAGGTTTGTGATTTGAAGAGAGCAAGGGTTGTCCAATTGTTGGGATCGGGTGGTCAGGTTCGATGACGT